GTGGGAGTGATGAGAGAACACACCTGCAGGGACGAGTTTATGGAAGACCATAGTGGTATATTAGAGTTTATCCTACAGACAACGGGGTGACATCCAAAGACTGGGAACAAGCACACCATGGCATCAGTTCTGTGTTAGTGAATGGCCATTATGTGGAGGAAAGATGCAAGGGGAACCTGCAGAACTGTGAGACAAGAACATCAATGTGTACCCAACAGCAAGCTGAAGGCCTGAACTAGCATAGTACATAGAAGTCAGTAGGCATGTGAAATGTAGGAGATAGAATTCCCAGGCTTGGAAATTGCAAAGTGAGTGGGATCAGGAGATAAAATGATTCCCAGGTTCCTAGCCTGACTGCCTAGGTAGGGGGTACGACAGGGCATCAGAAGGAGAGACAGTTTCACTGGAGAGATGACACATATTAGGGGTTGTTGGATTTCTAGGTGTAGTTGTCTAGCAGCCAATTGAATAGAGGCAGTCCTTGCTTGGCATGGTCTCTCACACATGAATTTCAGTTGCCACTTACAGTTAATGACACCCAATATCACAGTTCACCCCTCAGTCACCAGGGCATATGACGGTAAGGAATTGTATAAAGCACCTTCTTCTCTTCAGTCCACAAATCACTACATACTGATAGATACACATCATGACCCATGACCAATAATATCCTAAAATGAAAAGTGGGTCAACATTCAGACAATACAGAAATCAAAATAAAACCCCAAGTGGAGCTAACACATCTTCTTCATCTTCCCCCATCCCCACCCCTTCACCTAAACGAGTTTCCCGCTTGGGGAGGAGGTGTCTGAGCTGCCTCAGTGCAGAATTTGGGGCAGGAAAGCATAAAAGATGGTGGGGGAGCTAGTCAGACAGGCAGTAGACTGGCTCCAGAGCCTTTATTTTCTCCTCACCCTTCTGTCCCTCCCTCCTCCCATTCCTGCTCTCCTGTCCCTACCCTCCCTCTCTTCCACCTTCTCGCCTTCTCCCCTCCTCTCACCATCCTTTTTCCCCCTCCGTCCCTTCATTACTTCTTTCCGTCAAAAACTATTTATTGACTGTAAAGATGTCTTTGAGGTGCATGTCATGTAGTGTTTCGCCTGTGTTTCCTTCTATATATTTTATGGTTTCAGGTCTATGTCTAGTTCTTTAGCCCATTTTGAGTTGGTTTTTGTGTATGAGGTGAGGTAGTGGTCAAGCTTCATTCTTTTGCATGGAGCGACCCAGTTTTCCCAGCACCATTTATTGAACAAACTTTCTTTGCTCCAGTGCATAGTCTTTGCTCTTTTGTCAAAGATTAGTTGACTATAAATCTGTGGGTTTATTTCTGGGTTTTCTATTTGGTTCCATTGGTCAGTGTGTCTGTTCTGGTTCCAATACCATGCAGTTTTGGAAACAACCCAAATGCCCACAAATAGATGACTGGATCAAGAAGTTGTGGTACATATACACAATGGAATATTACTCAGCATTCAAAAAAGATAAACCCATGCAATTTGCAGCAACATGGATGGCGCTGGAAGGGATCATGCTCAGCAAAATAAGCCAGAAAGAAAAAGAAAAATACCAGATGGTCTCACTCATAGCAGGAATCTAGAAAACCTAAATAAGGGACCGGGAAAAAGAATAACTATAAGAAAGTGAAAATTAAAATCAACAACCAACTATGAACCAGAGACACTATGGGGGGGCGGGGAAAGGAGGGTTTAGGGTCAAAATTAGGGGGCTACAATTGTATGGGGAATATAAAAATAAAATAAAATAAAAAAATTAAAATAAAAAAATAAAATAGTTCTGACCTCTGGTAAAAAAACAAAACAAAACAACTATTTATTGAGCAGGTACTCTAAGCCAGACATAGTTACAGCTGGGGGTGTAGCAGTGAGTAAAACAATATTCCTATCCTTAAGAGGCTCCTAGTGAGTAAAACAATACTCTTATCCTCAAGAGACAAAGAGGAGAAATGTATACTGAGAGGGACTGTGGGGAACTAATTAAAGAGAGGGAGGTAGAGAAGGAGTCAGAGACAGGAGAGATGCCATTTTAAGGAGGTTTATTGGGAAGAACTTGTTAAAAAGGTGATGTTTAAGCAGAAGCTTGTTGTGGGAATGATTTTATGGTTGCCAGCTGCAGCCAGGCAGCTGCCAACATCTAAACACACCCCTCCAGTCTGTGTACAGATAGGTTTGTGTGCGGTGTAACTGCATATGTAAATGCACGTGCCTGTGAGGGCATTTTGGCAGGATTGGTCCCTGACGTCCTTGATATGAATCTGCCCTTGACCCCATGACCACCCACCCCCTAGCTGGCAATACCACCCTCCCCCTGCTCCTAGCCCTAGCAGCTTGGGCACTGCCTTCCCTTCCGGCTCAGAACTGTAGACCCCAATGCAGTTCAGACGCCTCCTCCTTCCTCTTCGGGCTGTCACTGCTGGGCAGGCTGCAAGGGTCTCAAGGCGGCTGGAACACGAGCCAGGAGGGTAGTCTTCAGGGTCAGTCTCCCATCTTCTCTCACAGTCACTTTACTGCAGGGACACCAGCCCCTTCCTCTTTCCCTCCTTGGGAGAGGCCTGTCCTTGTTCTCCCCAGCTCTTGGGCTAAAGGTCTTGGGAGGGTACCGGGTCTGCTTTTCCCTGGAGAGAATCTCACCATCCATTCATTATCACCATCAAGATAGAGATCTGGCTTATTTCGCTGAGCATATGATCCCTTCCAGCTCCATCCATGTTGCTGCAAATTGCATGAGTTTATCTTTTTTGATTGCTGAGTAATATTCCATTATATTGTAAAGAAAAAGAAAAATACCGGATAGTCTCACTCATAGCAGGAATTTAGAAAACCTAAATAAGGGACCAAAAAAATGACTAATTATAATAAAGTAAAATCAAAATCAACAAGCAACTATAAACCAGAGACACACTACAGGGAGGGAGGAGGGAGTAGGATCAAAACAAGGGGGGTGGGAATTGTATGGGGACTATAACCAAGATGAAAATGCATACATTGTGCAAAAATGAAAAAGGATGTAAAAATTATATAAAATTAAAAAAATAATAATAATAAATAAAAAAAGATAGAGATCTGTCAGCCTTTCCTCACAAAGGGTGGACGGGAGGGGAGGACAGGAAGGAAGGGGAAGAGGGGGGAGAGAAGACAGAAAGGAGGGAATGTGGAGAGAGAGGAAGCCCGCAGGTGGGGAGGGAGGGCAGAGAAAACGAAGGAGCTAAGAATCTTCCCCTCACAGAAGCATATCTTTGTGAAACTGGCCACAAGTCTCAGAAACTCGAAGAACTGGGTTTTATTTTGGGTCATCTCATGCGTGGACCCTCCTGAAAGGCCCCCTGCCATCTGGACTGCAGTAAAATAGGAGAGAAAATGTGTGGCAGCAGGAGAAAGCAGCAGGCGGTAGAAGGGGAGGCAGGCCTGGGATGAGGTCTGGAGCTGCGGGAAGGTTGAAGGCACAGAGCAGGGGGTAGGGCAGAGGTCGCCTCGGAACCCCTAGCTCCTCATCAGCCCTCTCTAGCTTCAGTCTTATCGGAGGCCCCACAGGCACCTGGATAGTGCCTGGTGGCTGAGGAAGGCAGTGAGGTTGGTGGTAAAACCCCAGAAGCATCAATGGCCTGCCCAGCTCAGCCCCAGGCAGCCCTGTCAGCCCCGTGCCCACAGAGGCTGCACACGCATGAGGGCCTCCGAGGCTCCCACTGGGAGCAGGAAAAACTGCCAAGCTCATTTCTGCTCTCAAGTCAAAGAAACCTAGTATAAACACGGTGGGCTCTTTGAATTATCCACATGAAATATTTAACGCACTTAGCCTGGAGCAGATGAGATTTAATAAGGGATGTTCCCATGGTGATTTTATTAAAAACGTTAATAATCAGCTACCCCATATAGAGTGCCTGGTAGGGTATCAGCCACTGGGCTCCAGGCACCTTGGCATGACTCCTCTCCCTGAAATCCCTGTCAGGACCCCCCACCCAGGAGACACACACCCACCCACTGCCTGAGGAGGAAACCTCTGAGGTTCAACCACATTAAGTAACTTAAGTCGTGCAACTAGTTAACTGTCAAAGTCCAAAGTGGAAACCAGGACCCACCAACTCCAAAGCACCCCCACCCCTGCCCCCGCTCTCCTGCTTCTATGCACATTTCAAGAACTCATCACACCAGCAGATTCAATCTTCCGTCCTGTTTTAGACAAGGCAAATTTGACAGTGCATCATTTATAGTTCAATTGTTTTTTCCCTAAAATTCAAGCAATGTTGCAAGAGTTAGAACTTCTGGAACTAATTCAAAGATGGAGATATTTTTGATCCTATTTTTGAGAAACTTACAACACCACACAAACACTTTCAAAATAAAAAATAATCTCGGAAAGCCCTATAGCTCAGGGGTTAGAGCACTGGTCTTGTAAACTCAAAAGTGTCTCTTTAGAAATTTTTTGTGTTTCATTTTTAAATGATAGTTTATTACATATACATGAGGAGGTTGGTAAAATCAAAGGCCAAGGAAGAATTCACCCTCAATTCCACATTCCAATTCTTTCATTCACATATTCATGGGAAAGCACTTGAAAATACTTACATAATTTGCCAGGAACAAAATGAGACAAACTATATGAAAACTTCTCAACAGAATTTCTCAAAAGCAAAGAATTACAGGCCATATACCTCCAACTCAAACATTTCCAGGGGAGAGAAACAGGCGCTGGATCTTTGTAACGAGGTTAGAAATGCTCTACCTAGTGACACCTTATTGCTTCAACTCAACACCTCCCTCCACTTCCCTGCTGCCCACACCTCAAGTCCTACCTTCCACTGCCACCATATAACTTATCTTGCTGCTGGATACCATAATCACCTCCTCCCCTTTTGCTCCACATGCTCCTCTTAATTTATTCCCTGTGAAGATTGCCTAAGCAATCTTCTAAAAACACAAATCCCACTGTCCTTAGAATAAAGACCCACATTTTTAACACAGCCTTTAAAAGATATTCTTGGTTGCTTAGTAGCAGTCACCGCCCCCTTCTTCTTTCCTATCAGAAACTTACAAACTCGCATGTGTTGAGATGTTAGCAAGAGTAACTAATGCACAGTTGGCTGACACAGACCAGCCCTATAATCGCCCCATGTGATTTCCACGTTTAGTGTAGCTGCTCCACCATGTTGTTGAAGGTCCACGCCTCGTCCACTCTGCCGTCTTCAGCATGCTGGCTGCTAGCTCTCTAGCTTCTCACCTCATAGACACAGGGTGGCTGCAGCAGTGCCAGATGTCACAGCTATGTTTCAAGACAGGAAGCATGGGAAGGTGGTAAGTGGTTATGGATATTGTCTCAAACGACAGTTTCCTTTCATACATAAAAGAAATATCCTCCCACAAAACTCCATGCAGATTTCCTCTTACATCTCATATAGGCAGAATTGTGTCACTTAGCTACTACCAATTACAGAAGAGTCTGGAAAAGGGAAAATATAACAAAGGGAAACAATATTACTGTGGCTGACTTAACACGAACATAAATCATGAAAGGAACTAGTAGGACATGGAGGGAGAGCACCTTGAAGTGCTCTTCTAGGAGAGCACCTTGAAGTGGCCTTGCTCCCTTGCTCAGGATGTAGTCTTTTATGGGGTAAATCCTGCAGCCATCTTGTTTTCAGTCCCATGTACAGGGATGCACAGAGGAGGGCAGAGTCGAGAGAAATCAGAGCAGCACAGATGGAGCATGTGGTCGGCAGCCTCTGAGGTGGGTCTCCACACTCCCCTGAGGGCCCTCCTGGTGTTCACGCTGTTGTGTAACTTCCTCTCCTTGGGTGTGGGCAAGGCTTATACTCTGATGCATAGAACAGAAAAGAAGCAGTGGCATATCACTCCTGAGATTAGGCTCTCCAAAGATTGCAGCTTCTGTGTGTGTGTGTGTGTGTGTCTTCATTCTCCCTTGCCTCTGTGCTGTCAGCATCCCTGTAATCCACATAGTGAAGAACTGAAGTTCTCAGTCTAACAGCCTGTAAGAACTGAAGCCTACCAACCACCATGTGGGTGATGGAAGAAGCAGATCCTTCAGTCCCACAGGGAAGACCTCAGACCTGGTGGACAGCTTGTCTGCAAACCTGTGAAAGATCTTGAGCCAGCATGACCCAGATAAGCCTGTCTTAGATTTTTGACCCAGAGAAACTGTGAGATGTTAAACGTTCCTGTCTGCAGCCACTAATTTGGGGGTAATTTGTTATGTAGCGATTGTTAACTAACAGAGTAGATTTAGTCACTTCTCAAGGCTGCCTGTCTAGGGATTCCAGTTATATAAGAATATCATTTTTCTTATTTCTTAAGCCAACTTAAAAAGTCTCTGTACTTGCAGCCAAAAGCACGCCAAGTGATAAAAAGAGCTTACACATTATCTCACTGTAGCCTGTCTCTAGCAACATCTAAAAGTCTTTCCCCTTTGTTCCAGAACTACTCATCAGGACCTTCCTCCTATCCCTCATATATGCCAGTTTAAAATGCTAAGGAAGGTCATCTGGCCAGCAGAAGAAACTCCTTGAGAGGTGACCAAGAGGTGACCATGCATTGTCAGCCAAGCCCAGGGAAACATAAAAAAAAACCGACTGGGCTGCAGTAAAGCAATGCAGAGTGTGGGGCCTGGGGAAGAGCACAAGGGGCCTCTTCCTCCTGGCACTAAAGGGTCATCACGGAACTGCATCCTCACACCCTCCCCCTCCCCCCTCCCCCACAAAAAAGGGGCTGAGCAGACAGTAGATGTGCAGCACTTTGAAGACAGTGCCAAGCACAGCACTTTGTACATGAAAAGGGTTTTTCTCACAATGCAGATTTCTAATTGCAACATCCAACTGTCCCCCAAAGAAGGCAGTGCCAAACCCAGAAAGGACTGAGATGATGGTACAAACCCCCACTGAATGCCACCTCTGGGGAGAATGCAGACCCACCTGCCTCCTCTTTTCTTTAAAAAGCTAAGGTAGGGCTCAAATTATCCTGACAATTACTTGACCTCCACTTTTTATTCGGCCCCTAACTTATAAATCTAGCTGAGGGCCGCCCCGGTGGCGCAGCGGTTGAGCGCTGGGTTGAGAAGCAGCCCGCAGCCTCTGCAGCACTGGTTCAATCCCTGGCTGCTCCCCGGCCACCGGAGGAGGGTCCTACATGGCGCGCAGACCCCTCCTGCGGCCCGCTGCTCCCCTCAGCAGTGTACTTCAGTCCTTCTGCCTGCTCTGCTCCCCACTCTGGCTCTGGTGAATTCTCTCACCCTCCCGCACTTCTGACTGTACCCAGTGCTTGTATAAATAAGTAAATTAAATAAATCTTTAAAAAAAAAAAAGTTTTCTTAAAAAAAATAAAATAAATAAAATAAATCTAGCTGAGCCTGAAATGCTATGCATTTATTAAAACTTCATCTACCTGTCATTACCAAATGAGGAATAAATGGATCTAATTAATGTGGACCTAATTAACACTTCATTCTATCAAATGAAGTGTTGGAGTCAGAAGATGAACTTTCCAGATGACTGAAATGACAAACAGATGACTAAATAACAAAACATGAAAAGGAACAAAAGCATTATTAAACTGAACACACACACACTCTTCACTCACTTTCATTGTGATCCTAGAGAAGGGAAAGGGGTGGGGTGGGGGAGGAGAGAGAAAAAGGGAATGGTAGAGTAGTTGACAGTGGGAATTAGCAAAGACAGGGGTCAGCAATTTATTTCTGTAAAGGGCCAGCCAGATAAGAGATATTTCAGGCTTCGTGGGCCACTGCAGTCTCTGCATAACTACTCAGCTTGCTGTTGTGCATAAAAGCAGCCACAGAAAATCACAAACAAATGAGCATGGCTGTGTTCCAATAAAACCTTTATTTATGGACACTGAAATTTGAATTTCATACTGTTTTTCTGTGTCACAAAACATTATTATCCTTTTGATCTTTTAAAAAGACTTTGCTTAGAGGAGTTTTAATTTCACAGAAAGATGGAGGAGACGGGACAGAGATCACCCATAGACCTGTACCCCCAGCCTCATATATGCATAACCTCCCCGTGCTCAACTCCCCACCCCACACCCAGGGGGCATATATGTCACAACTGATGACACTGCTTGACACAATCACCCAGAGCCTACACTTTACATGAGCAGTCACTCGTCCTGTTGTACATTCTATGGTTGTTTCCAATTATTAAAACATTTTAAAACCATGCTTAGCTTACATGTTATACAAAAACAGGTGGCAAGATAAATTTGGCCCATGGTCTGAAGTTTGCTGGTCCCTGATCTAAAGTAAGGAGTCAAGATTATCTAAAAGAAGTGTCTCTCAGCTTCGCTCTTGCTTCTGCTTCTTGAGGGCCTGATCATCCCTCTGCCTCTGAGTATCTCCCAATCTCCTGTCAATCAGTCAAACATTATTTTGAGCACCATTGCTTTGTATCAGCAACAACTTTCTATTTTTTGCTATACAAGCAAAGTCTGAAGGAAGAGCAAGTAATAAAAAAGCATTCAAAGTAAACCTCCTGGACTGAATTTTTTTAGCCATCTCTGAGTACTCAACTTAGATTCAATTTCTTGCAGAAATATTAAACAGCACATTGGTAACTGAAGCTGGCTTTCTAGAAGTAATAAAGCTAGAGCAAAGCATGAGCTCATGGCTTCTCTTGGCTCTTAAGTCTCTGCTGAGGAAGAGAAAGAGAGCCTGCCAAAGAATGTTGGGGGAATTATCAGGCTTGTGGGTTTGCCAAGGCAGAATTAGCCAGGCTGTAATATGCACGGTGGGCACTATGCAGATAGGGACCTGCTGGAAGCAAAGTGGAGGCCTGGAGAGGAGTGGGGGGCTTGGGGGAAGTAGAGGAGGTCCTGCAGGGGAAGGGTCAGGATGGGGATTGGAGAGGCGCTGGAGCTGGGAACTGTGCACTTGAGTTACACATGCCCTGTAAGATGCAGAATGTGAGAGCTAGAATCAACCTCAACATCAGGTGGCTGTACCCTCTCATTGAACAGATGACAAAAATGAGGGCTGGCGCTGTTGGGACCTGCCCAAGGACATGCGTGCTTTGGGACAGAAGAGCTCATTGTATGACTGGCTTTCTAGGACTCGTGCAGAGAAGAAAGTCCCATTTCCTGTTGGGTCAGAGTAGAAATAGATGCCCGGAACTTCGTTGTCCAGATGCGTAAGTCCTTTGGCAATGCCAGCTTCGAGTACGTCCCCTCTAGGCAGAGAGGGTCCTGCAGACAAAAAGGCTCACACCACTGTTGTCTTTCTTTTGGAATTTGGGGGATGTGGAAGTTGAAGCCATTGTAGCTTTTTAGAAATGTTTGTTGCTACTACAACAGATATTTACCATGTTTATTATAATGAAATATTAATATGAATAATGAACCAGACACTGGTTTATGACATGATTCATCTTCCCTTGTCCTGTGTCCTGGGAGAGGGGTGTGTAGCTGAATACCCGTGACCAGCCCGGTGTCTTTGAAATCAATCAGACTTCCTGGTGGGCTGGTTGGATCATCTCCCAAGAAGAAGGGCCCACTCCCCTGGTCACCTCACGGTTGGAGCCATAGCCCTGTAGTTGAAGCTTCTTCTGCCCACCCGGAGCGCCACCCTTGCAATCCTCTTCCCCATTGCATCTCTCCCCACAAGGAGAAAGCCTGGCAATGGGGAGAAGGTGGTCGCTGGCTTTTTCAGGAAAAGAGGTGCCAATTATAGCCTTTATTAGGCTCACACCCGCCGTCTCACTGCCTTTTGACTGCTCCAGACCACACACACACTCAGTTTTCCTGCACTGGGACAGGAGACCTGTGTGGTCCTGCCGACTCACTTATAATAAATCTGCGAGCTTAATAAAAGGCATCACTTCTATCTTTTGATCTCACTTGAGTTACTCATTAGCTCTGGGTAACACACTTCTTGACTGACAGGCCCTTCCCAGGGAAAACCCAAGCTTGGTGGTTCTTCAAACAAAAAAGCAGCATGGAAATGTGCGTGTGCGTGTGCATGTGCGTGTGTGTGTGTGTGTGTGTGTTGGGGGTGGCGCACTGTGTGATTTGCCAAAAGGAAGAAGGGGAGGAGGAGCCTGGCCATCTTAGGAGAGATTTGGGACAGAGTCCCCTGAAGAGAATGAGTATCACCCAGAGCCTGCTAGTAATAACAGAAGCTTCTAGCGCTCTCAGTGGTTTGAGTCCTCTGTCTCTCCTGTTCCAGTCTTTCTGCCTTTACTAAAAATCCTTCTCAGGGAGCCTCCCTGGTGCCACAAGGCTATGAAACTGTCCACAGCCACTGCAGCAGGAGTTGGATCCCCGGCCAGGGAGCTACCCAAATGGCGCAGCAGACCTCTCCTGTCTGGCCTGCTGCTCCCCTCGGCAGTGTATTTCGGTAGATCTGCCTGTTCTGCTCCCCACTCTGGTGAATCCTCTCTCTCACACACACCCCCATCTCTGGCCTCCACTCAGCTCTTGTACACATAAATAAATAAATCTTAAAAAAAAAAAATCCTCTTTCTCCATGGAACCTCTCTGCTTAATCCCTATCAGTTCCAAGACTTGAATCCAATATGCATTGGCCACTAAGGCCACTTTCTTGTGCTACCTCTTGCCTGTAGACTGTAAATGTTGATGGAAATATTCCAATTTCTTTCACAAAGTCAGTCATTCCAGCTGCCATTTGCAGGTATTTCCTTCCTCTGTGCCAGTATTTAGACTATACTCTGGGCCTACATTATTCCCACGTGTCTTAATAACAATCCTATGAAGATAAACATGTAATAACTGAGGAAACTCAGGCTCAGAGAACTTAGGTAAGTTGCCAGAGTTCACACAGCTAATAGGTTCACCCCAGATTGTCTGGATCCACAGACCCTGCTCAACCCCACGCGGTCCCAAACCACCCTGACTGTGCCTGCCTCAGGCTGCTCAGCTGTGCATGCATTTTGCATTCCCTGCAGCACCCAAGCCTGATGTCAAGGTGAAGTTCCCAGTGTTTCTGCCTCCGTAGGACTCACATCACACCCTCTCCCTCTAGGTGACTTCACTCTGGGCCATGGCTGCTCTGGGAAACTTCAGTCACTCAGGGAATGGCAGGGAAGATGCCAGACTCAATATCGACTCACTGTGTGTTGGCGTTTCAGCTGTGAAAACAAAATTACCAGACCAGCAATGTTTGGTCCTCCTTACCACACAGACACAAACTTCTTCACAGCCGCCCCCACGTGAAACCACAAGTGCAGGAACCACAGGGCCACACGCACAGATAGGTGGCATTGCCCAGTGACTAAGGGTGCAGTCTCTGCATCCACTAAGCAGGCCCAGGGCCCAGCTCTGCCTCTCTGTACTAATTTGACCTTGAACAAATCACTCAGGTCTCTGTCCAGCATCCTGCCACATAAAAAAGGAGATGATAATTCTTGTTTCATAAGCATGTTAAATGAGCTAATCCATGTACAGGAAATGGGCATTTGAAGAAGTCTTTTTTTTAGGATGAAGTACTAGTGGCTTGGGCCCCAAAAACCATGTTGAAGTTCTAGCCCCAGTATCTGTGAATATGAGCTCATGTGGAAATGGAGCCTTTGCCCATGTCATCAAGATAAGGTGAGATCTCAAGGGTCGGTGCTGCTCCAATACAACTGGTGTCCTTGTAAGAAGAGGGAAATTGGGACCAGATGTGCACAGGTGAAGGCACAGACATCGAGGGAAGATGGCCAGTGAAGACAGGGACAGCAATAGTCATGCTGCCATAAACCAAGGAGCTTCTGGAGCCATCAGGGGCTAGGAGGTAAGGTTAGAGGTTGTGCAAGAGAAGCCCTTGACAACACCTTGATTTCAGACTTCTAGCCTCCAAGACTGTGAGAAAATAAATTTCTTTATTTTAAACCATGCAGTTTGTGACTTTGTTAGAAAAATAATACCAGGGGCATTTAAAAGATCTCTGATCTCAGAGCCCTAAGACTTCTTTCCTAGTTTTGGTTTTGCTTCTAATTAGTTATGGAACCTTGGATGAATTAGAGCCACTGACCATTAGAACTGAAAAAGACCGTGTGCTCAGGTGCAGAAACTGATGCCCACAGAGGGGAGAGAATGGCAGGTGACCCCAGTGAACCTCAGTTACTTCATCTGTCAACAAAGGAGTAATCATCTCTGCCCTGCCTGCTTGGCAGAGCTGTGGTTGAGGTAAAGTCAATAAGATCACCGGGTAGACCAGTTGCCATCACAGCCATGACAACACACTCATCACTCTCTGCCTTCCCAGGAGCACCCATGTCAGTTTCCCAGGATTCTGGTTGATTCGGAGGAAGGAGGCAAGGCAACCATGTGCTATTTGAAGCAGATGAAATCATTGACAGCCTCTGGGCACCCATGACAACCAGCCCACCCATTCGATAAATGTTATTATTGTGTCACCTGAAAGGCAGTGTGCACAGTATATATTGGCATCCACAAATGAAGGCTTGGCCTCTTAGGGAAGAATAGGACAAATCAGGACACCTGGGTTCAGCACCTGGAACTGCTGCCCAATTCACTATGCATCTTAGGAAGACCCAGAGAAGGGTCTCCCCATAAAATGTGGAACAGGGACCTACACCCAATCTGTGTGATTCCAGAGTCTTCGATCTTAATCACTATTTTGTATGGCTGAAAGAGATAAAATGGATCACTCATTCCAGAGAGCACAGTGTCCATAATGCATGCATGCATGTATGTATACATGTACGTATGCGTGCATGTGTATGTGTGCATCCTGAAATCATAGAGCCGACAGCATCAGGGGGTCATCTGGTTCTACCTGCCAGACAATAATCAGATGCTTGTTTAGCTACTGGCCATTCCAGTGATGTTTTCCTCACTCTTTTTAAGAATATTTATTTTGTTGACATGGAAACAGTCTTCCTTACATAGGAAAGTGAAGAATATAAAGGTTAAGGGTTTACAAACCAGAAACTAGGTAAAGAGTTTGCAAACTTGGTTCTGCCACTTTTGATAAACCATGTGATGTTGGCAAATTACTTTGCCTTGCCTCAACTGATGTGGAGACTTTGCACGGTGCTGGGGAGTGAAGTGAAGTCAGGCCATGGAAGCTCTCAGGAGCCCCCGGACATGAGAGATTCCAGAAACATGGGCTCTCCCTCCCCTGTGTTAATCTGAAGTTACTCCGATTGTACCTACTTTTTGTACCTCTGTCAGTTCACAACTATCTAAAAACAACCATTAATGGTCCCCCAATTCTTAGCATTCATATCACATTGCTCCCCCTCTTCATCTTCATCATTATCATCACCACTGACATCCTCATCTTTTATCACAGCATCTTTGCTGTCATCATCATCATCACCACATCATACATTTGAATTAATATTAGAATTTTTTACATATTCTCCTAAGTGTGGCCACCGGGTCCCACAACAATTCAATAAATTGAATAGTCTCATTTTACAGATGATGAAATTGAATCTCAGAGAATCTCAGAGACTTAGGCTCACACAGCCATTAGCATCAAAGGCAGAAACCAAATCTAGTTTTCTTGTTGCCAGCTCATAGGATGGCCCCTTCAGTGGCATTACTGTCTTTAACAAATATGCCACCCAGCCAGCTCAGATTACACACAGGATGTTTTTCAGTAAGGTTTGATATTCCCCCTTGTATTCTTGTGCAACTGACATGTAAAAGGAAGATTTCATGTGTGCTTGTGTACCTGTGGGAGAGAAAGAGAGCAAGAGAATAACACATATCCCTGGAAACCTCTGAGGTTCTCCTCTGCCAAGCAGACATGGGATTCAGCCCACACCTGCAAGATTCAGATGTCTCTTGTCCCATGAGAGTCTCACTCCACCTAGTTAATCCAGGCAGAGCCTCCTCCTGCCTCCTTACAGGACGCAGTTCAGACCAGAATATTAATGGAGATTACAGCAGAGAAGAACAGATTTGGAGGAGGGAGGGAGCGGCCTGGCAGGGAAGCTAGGCACCCAGGTGGGATCCTTCCATGGATGATCTCAAAGCTCTTCATTGGAAGCAGGATGGGATGCACTAAGCCCTTCCCAGGGGTGCCTAGAGCTTGTCTCTATCCTGCACTCTGTATCTAGGTGTTTCTTGGGACATATCTACCCACACCTTTGTTTTCCTAGGTAACCGACATGCATACATCTTTCTTCCCAGCTGCCCCCCTCCCCAGCTTGTATCAAATCTTCCCACTCTATATAGGGGGTCCATGCAGAGTTAACCAAGTTAAGATGAGGTCATTAGGATGGGCTCTAATCCAGTATGGCTGATGTCTCTGAAAAAGAAGGAAAATAGTGAGGATAAGGCACGCAGAGAACACCTTGTTACAACAAAAGCAGAGACTGAGGGATGTGACCACAAGCCAGAGACACCAAGGATTGATGCCCCCACCAGTAGTTGGGAGAGGCTGACATCCTGATTTCTGAATTCTACCCTCTAGAAGTATGAGAGGATGAATTATTCTTGCTTTAAGCAAGAATAATTCACTGTTTGTGGTACTTGGTGACAGTAGCCCCAGGAATCTATATACCTCCTCCTTCACAAGTAGGCAGACAACTCCCTACCAGGGCCCCCAAGCCCCCTGCACCATGTGCCCCCATGTCACCCTTGCATGCCTCCACCTACCAGACAGCAACTACTTACTTGCTATCTCCCCTGCTACTCAAGGTGGTACTTCACAGGGGACACAGCAGAGGTTCTGTGTGGGCAGGGAACATGACTTCCTTTCTTCTTCCATTCATCCATTCATTTTTTCAAAAACTAGTTTTGGAGAACCTGTTACCACCCAAAAATTAATATCCCTACTTTCAGGGAGCCTGCTTTCCAGTGAGTCTGGGGAGCAGACAAGAGTTAAGAAACGCATCAAACAAATAAAGAAACATTTCAGATAATGACAAGTACATAGAGGGAAGCAATGGGCAGGAAAAGGGCTGGTCCTGGAGAACGCAGGGAGAGCGTGATGGCTTGAGACTGACCACAGGTGGCCTTTGAAGGCCTCTCAAAGGCATCAAGAGAGACTGAAACCTGAACAAATGCGAGTCACCGTGCTTTAGTCGTTGTACCTGTCGCCCTGGTGAAAGCAGAGACTGCGCAGTAGCTGGGGTGGTGTGGAGGGGACTGCCATTCCCCGCATCTGTGATTTATTTGAACTGGCCTTGACACACACACACCCTGGCGAAGCAGGTGCCCAACAACACCATGCTTGCTTAAGGAATGTCTGAATGGAGGATGCCACAAGAAAAGTATTAGAAACCACAGAATGGGCTTGGCACACCACAGGGGTCCCACAAATGTTTCCCCTTCTGTAGGCCCCCCACAAAGCACCCATCCCCTCACAAAGGAGGCAGGCTGCCTGCCTCTGGTACTCACACACAGTGAGGGGGCTTTCCGTTCCTTGCAGCACAAGCACTCAATGCTGCTGGTGAACAGTCCTGCTGATATTTTAAAAAGTTAGAATTTTACAAAACCCTTTCATACTGCACCACACCCTTTGATCTTTCCTGCCACTCTTTTACACAGAAAGCTCTGCCTCCATCTTCGTACAGAATTTCAATCTGAAAATGGAAATATTTCCCCAGATTCCCCCACGGTGAGTTAGGGGACTCTGACTCCAAACCCCACTCTTCACACACTCACTTCTCCCTCAGCCAAGCCAGGCAGACAATCCAGTTCCCAGACTTACCCGGCTGAGGGAGGCAGGAGGAAGGAGAGTTCTTTGCTAGTGCAAGGCCCTGCGACCAGAGGCTTCTGGGGTCCAGTGTTCAGATGGTCTTCAGCGAATAGTGTTGCTATCGGCAATGAAAGTTCCGGAAGCAGTAAAATTCATCGCTGCCTTAAAGGTACCTCTGAGTTTGAGGTCAGACAAGATTCCTCCACAGCTGGCTAGGTGACGGCAGACACACCAGTGAACCTGTTGTTAGATTATTCTTTTGTTTATAAAACACAGGAACAAACAAATTAAAACAGGGATGAGTTTCCCTCCCTCCCTCCCTCCCTCCTTCAGGGGTGGCTGTGAGGATGAGCTGAGACTGGAAAGCGGTGCTCGGATTTGAGGGGCCTCTGGAGTCTCACCACTCTCTGACCAGAGAGGATGTCTGTCCAGAGAGAGGGGGAGAAGACAGACAGGTGGCGAGATCCCCCTTCCAGATAGATCTCCCTTCCTGAGACAACAGGCAGAGGATGGATTTGTTCTCAAACTCTAGCCATGGCAATGTCCTCCAGGGTGTGGGGTATGTGCTCAGTGACCCAAGCGTGCACTGTTTCTCCCACAGCCAGGACTCACAGGCGGGGTCACAGAGTGGAAATGGGACTGACCCCCTCACTGTTACCCCTGCAGATTCAGTGCAAGGCCTTTGCTTCCCACCACACAGCTTTGGGTCCTGCTGCTCCCAAGGGGTGGGGTGGGGGGGTACTTGGCCTGGGGGCACCCAGCAGGGTTCCACTGAAGAGGAAGTCAAGATTGCAAGTGGCCACGCTGCCTCCTCACTCCAGCAAGTCAGCAGGCAAAGGGGTCAGGGTCCTGTCTGGGGTGACAGATGCTGGCCCTCAAGAGAAAATCAGGCTGCAGCCACACGACAGGCCAGGAGGAGTATGTCTGGACGTGGGGCTTCCCTGCGCGCTACCGGACAGCCACAGCGGTGATGAGCTCAGGGGAAAACAGCAACAGCCCAATTCAGGCAGGACTGCTGGTGGCCCAGGCCTTCAGGGAGAAGGGTCAGGTCACCCACGGGGCAAGGAACCTGGACCGCCAAGGTGCTTGCAGGGGGCAGATGGGGTATGGAGTGGGCAGTCAAGAGAGAATTATAAACATCAGCTACCTCAAGAAATTTGCAGAAACAAGAATTAATTTTATGAGTATTTCTTCTGTTTTTTGAGGTAAATATGTTTGTGCGTCTATAACTTTATCACCTCTCTCCCCTACCATCTAACATCTAATGTAAGATATGTTAATAGTAGTTAACTTGATATCTCAGTATTTAAATCAGAGAATATATAAAGGGAAGTGTGAAGCAGCTAAGGAATGAACTTCCAAGCAAGGAAAGGGGACTCTGTATCCTCCTTTGGAGAAGGAATTCAGGCTGTTGTGGGCTGTGTGTGGAGTAGCTGTATCATGGTAGAGAGAGGGGCTTTATTTGATGAGTGTGGCTTCCTGGGTACATATGGTGCCAACTCAACAAGGGGTAGACTCCAGCGGCTTTGTAACCTGTCAGCTTTGTCAGGATGAACTATGTTTCCCCACACCCCCTTTCCTGTGTGCTTGGCTAGGGTAGACTCAAGAAAGATTTGACCTGGGTTTTGGAGGGTCAAGGTGAAGCCACAACTATGATGTGTGTGAGTGGGAGGAGCAGCACCCACACTGTTACCTCACTGCTGGCCATTTTGTTGGTGTGGGCCAGCAATCAGGCCTGCAGTGCAGACCCCTGCCCCTCATCTTTCTTTGACTTGTTTAACTGTGGGGCCAGAGTTACTTTTCCTGAGGCAGTGAGGGCCTCTTATAAACGAGTTATCTCCCCCCACACCAAATTCAGACTTTGAATCCTTAACCCCCCTCACCCCCAATATGACTATGTTTGGGGATAGGGTCTTCAAAGAGGTAATTAAGCTTAAATGAGATCATAAAGTAGGGCCCTGATCCAATATGACTGGTGTCCACACAAGACAAGAGACACCAGGGATACATGGCCATGAGAGGGCCCAGCAAGAAGGTGACCAATTGCGAACCAAGGAGAGAGGCCCAGGAGAAATCACTCCTGCCAACACACTATCTTGGGCTTCTGACTTTCAGAGCTGTGAGAAGATATGATTCTGTTGTTAAGTCACCCAGTCTGCAGTGCTTTGTTGTGGTGGCCCTAACAAACCAACACAGGCCTAAGATGGCTCAATTCTGCGTATGGCATCCCATGAGGGTCCTCCTTTGCATTCATCTTTCTTTCCCAACTCTCTGCCCTGTGGATTTCAAATGCCAGCATGGGAGATATCAAGTCTTCCAGAGATTGCTGAGCCAGCATAAGATCAAATCTTGTAACAGATTCTAGGGTTCTGCTTTCCTCACTTTAGTGTGACTGATTTAGGAAGGTTCTTACAGACAACTTTGTGGGCTTGAAACTCTGAGCTGCATTAAAGGACATGCACTGGCCAAGGATGTGGGCACACTGGCACCATGTCCCATGCACCTCTCTCAAACCCAAGGTGGGAGGCAGCTGGCCTGTCACCAGGGACCCTCCAGTAGCCTCAGGAGAAAGGGAGAGTAGGCAGAGCTGAGGTGAGCAGATGGGGCCAGGCACGTTCCCTGTCCGCTGAGCAGATGCTGGCGGCCCCACCTGCAAGCTGCCAGACCCTGCGCAAGATCAAAACCCTGCAGCCTCAGCACCTGTGTATCAGGAGGCCCGGCTCTGCTGTGGCAGGTATGGACTCAGAGCCAGCTGCTTCCTCCCATGTGACAAAGCCCGAAGCTTACAGCTGTCAGGGATTAGGGTGTGCTGCTCTGGGTCACTAAGGGGTTAAACTACAGGCAGTTTCCCTCCTCCCTCATCTGAGCCCATCACTTCTGGCTTTTTCTCTGCTGCCTCCCCCAAGCTCCCTGGCTGTGGTGTCTATTGGAGACCCTGGAATTGGAGAAGCTGCTGAGTATAGGCCTCTTAGTCAGGACTGATGCTGCTATCAGGATTTATTTTTAAGGACACAGTCAGTCCCCACCCAATGGTTTTAAGCATTCTAGTCCCAGCATCCAGAAGCCTGGTCAACAAGGAGAAATCAAAGAGAAATTAGGCACAGGGCAAAGTTTAGCTCCTACTGTATACCAGATAGGTTTATATTTATCATCTTAGAGCTCTGTGAAATAAGTCTTAGCATCTGTATTCTAGAGAATTCTCTGAGGCTCACAGAGATTAGGTGACTTAACAAAGGTCACACAGAAACTAAAAAGTCAACAGAGAAATCATGACCCAGTTTGTCTGGCTTCAAAATCCTTTCTCATCCCAATCCTTGAGACTGCTGCTTGCCTAAATCCCTCATTAACCCAGATGGAGCTAGGATGTAAAAGGGGGCAGAAGTAGAACACAATACATTGGTTCTCAAAGTGTTGTTCAACCTGCAGTCTCAGCACCACTTGGGATCTTGTTAAAATGCAAATACTCAGGTGCCCCCCACTTCTTGAATCAGAAACCACTGGGGTAGGACCTTGGCATTCCTGCATCAGACAGTCCTCCAGATGGTTCTAATATGTGCATAGAGTTTGAGAACCACTGGTAGAAAAGGCCGTGCTCCTCTAGGTCTGGTCTCCAGATACCCTGGCCGAGTGAGGGTTGGAAGACGATCTTAGAGCCAGAGGCAGACACTGGCAAGGTGGTACAGTCCCTTTCACTCACAAATCACCTCTCCAGACCTCATCCATTGAACACTCAGACTGACTGCAAGGTTTTCAACTGAGGACTTCAGTGTTTTGCTGGCTGTTGTCCGGACCCCACCTCCAATTTCTTGTCACACACCCCTCTTTTCCAGGCAGCTCCTTTGGCTTGCCAAAGTGCAAAGGGAGAGTCTTCTAGCAAGAATGAAGTTACAATCCTTTGTTAAGTGACCCTGGAGAGACATCCTTTGCTGTATCTGTCAGCTAGAAGTAAGTTACAGATCCACCCTTACTTTAGGGGAGAGATTTCCTAAGGGGCAGGAATACCAGGAAGCAGGAATCATGGGGTCATTGAAAGTTTGTCAACCACAGCAGTGAGCAAACTTCTCTAACAGTCTAAAGAGAACACATTTTAGGCTTGCAGATGGTTTGTCTGCCCTCAGAACTCAACACCAGTTATAGGCAAACAAACGAGGGTGTTCCAATAAAATTTTGTTTATGGAAGTGAAATTAGATTCACATGTGGTTTTTATATCTCAAAATATTATTCAATTTTTATCGCTTTCGCCAACTATTTAAAAAATATAAAAAACATTTATAGCATTCAGGTCACACAAAACCAGGCAATGGATCAGATTTGGCCTGTGGTTCACAGTTTGCCAAACCCTGCCCTAATTTATAAGTTAGAAAATTTAATTTTTGTGTAATAGGCTTTTTAACTGTATTATTTTTATTGAGGTAACAGTGGTTTATAACACTGTATATGATTTGGGACTGTAGGTTCACAACTCTTCAGATGTATGTTACCACAGTGCATCAGCCCCCAAAGCACCAATAATCCTCCACCATAGTCCATTGGGCCCCCTCCACTGACCAGGATATAGGTGGAGGCAGTGCCCCATGGGGTGGGGAAGGCAGGCAGCAAGTTCTCGTGGAGGTCAGTGAAGTGCAATGGGGTATGCATAAAGAAAGCATTTGCTGATCCTTCCTCTGTGTGAATCTATGCTTGCTGAACCGCTGGCTTTGTTACTGAAGAGGATGTTTGATGGTTTTTCCTCTCCCAGGACTCCCCTTTGGCTAGCGGGGAGAGTCCCCCATGACAAGTGGCAACAAAGACTGTGAGCATTCAATTCTTATCCAAGGGTTTGTGAATAATAAATGAAGAGTTATTCAGTGAAATTGTATTCAGGGGCTTAAAATAGAATCTGTCTCTAGACTCTACAGTGATCTTATTAAACATTGATGACATCATGCTCCCCCTACCAGATATACTTGGAGTAAAATCCAAACTCTTCCCTGCAGCCTATGGGCCCTGTGTCCTCCACATTTGCTGCAAGCTCCAGGACTTCTTCTCTGTTCCTCAGCCACCAGTCACAGACCCACGTCAGGGAGTTTGTATTTGCTGTTCCCTCTGCCCAGAAGTTTTCTTTCCTGGACTTTTTGAAAAGTCAATTTCTCATCATTCAGGTCTTAATTTAAA